GGGCTGAGAGGTTAAGTGTAAGACCATTGAGAATAGTACATGATGGGCTAATCTTGCATTTTCCCACAGTCCCTGGATTTTCATAAGGTGGCTTGGCCCAGGGACCACTTAGTGTAATGTTGGGCCCATTAAGAACCCATGGTGATGGGCTCAGGGGTTCACTGGCCATAACAGTGAATTCGGCCAGGCCTTGTAACAAAGGCTGGGCTGAACCCATGTGGCTCATGTGTAGATCAATGTTTGGGTCCCACGCTATACAAGGAAGCCCAACAGGGCAGCAGTTTAGAAGGTTAGTGAGCACAAGGACTTAATGGGCCTAAAGCCCAATTTGAACTGGTCTAATTGGATTAGTTAAAGAAGGGGCGGATCTGGGATTGAAATCAGCATATAGGATAGGGAGTTATCCCTATCCACTCAGAGAGTCCAGATCCAAATACAGATTTGGATTTGGAAACTCCTAATGAGATTAGGAGGGTTGATCTAATCTACAGATAAGATAAGGGTTTATCCTTATCTCTTAAAGAGAACTCCTAATCCAAATACAGATTTGGATTAGGAAACTCCTAATGAGATTAGGAGCTCTCTTTAAGGCTATAAAAGGAGGAGGGGGCGAACCATTCTACAACATCATCTCATCAGATCTCAGATCACAGAAAGAGAGAAGACAGCTACAGTAAGGCTGCGCCATCTTCTGCTCTTGCGCCCTCCTCTTGCTGCCGCCATTGCCAGTTTGATCTCCATCGTAGAAGAGATCAAGAAAGGTTCTTGATATTAGTCTTTGGAGAAAGGCTGATCTGAAGTTGTGCTCACAGCCTCCATCAAATTCTTGCTGAAGGATTCGGTTCTTGGGAAGAACACTGTTGATTCTGCTCCACCCTACACTGTGTCATCTTTAGTGGGAGCAGTCTTTGGAGATTTCTTTGGGCGTGAACACCTTCATTGGGAGTTACTGCTACTCTGTATCAGGTATATCCCTCTCCTACCTTTTGGTTTCAGATCTTGTTCGGTTTGGGTTCAAGATTGATCCTTGAAAATGCAGATTTTCTAAAACAGGGAATGTGATTCCCATATGGAGAGAGAGAAATTTTTGAAATTTCGCCCAACCTACCTGCAGGGTTCGGCCATCCATATGATGGATCTCTCATCCCTTCAATGCAATCTCTTGGGCATCCAAGAGACAAACTTGTATATCTCACTCAACCATGGAATCCAAATTCATAGCCTTAGCGGCTGTTGGAAAAGAGGCTGAATGGATTAGGAATTTATTATTGGATATAAAACTTTGGCCTAGTCCTATGCCTCCAATTTCCATTTACTATGATAACGAGGCAACTCTGTCAAGAGCCTACAGTGGTACCTACAATGGTAAATCCAGACATATAAGTCTGAGACATGAATTTGTTAGGCAATTGATTCAAGATGGAGTCATCAATATAACCTATGTGAGGTCAAGTAAAAATTTGGCTTATCCTCTTACCAAGGGCTTGACTAGAGAATTGGTAAGAATGACAACCAAAGAGATGGGATTAAACCCTTTACTTAGTCACTTGTAATGGTAACCCAACCTGAACTGAAAAACCATCAGTATTGGGTTTAATGGATAACAACAGTTACAAATATGTGATTGTTAGCACTGACATTGAGAAATTTCCCATCACAACATAAACAATGTTGTCCGTTATGATGAGATGTTGAGTTAAACTCTTAATGAAGTTCTGAAATGTGTCAAATAACGGAACACATAGTGGAGATTCACCTATGTGAACATAGAAGTGGTGCCGCTTCTCATGAGAGTTTGGGTTTGCTTTCTGGATTGTTCATGAAACCAGGAAAGAAGCACATGGCCATAACAGTGCTGAGCAAAACTTGAAACTCTTGTAGAGACTGGACATTTTTGTGTGTATGGGTGTCTCCGGTCTGTCTTGAGAGTAATTGGTTTAAGGTCTTACCACCAATAACTTTGACAAGGCTCTGAGATATCTATACTAACAAAAGGTTTAAGTTAATAAACACATTTTGTATGCATAATTGTGTCATAGTAGTTTGGATTGAGAGAGAATTATGTAATTGATCGATCAATGTGGGGGATTGTTGGATTTTAATCTCATAAGAGATTAAAACCAATGAGTTTGATTGGTCAATTACATGAGAAATTGCACTTACACACTTGATTGAAAAATTAGTTTTTCTCTTACAAAACCCAGTTTTGAACTTGTCCCACATTGGAAAATTATAAGCTTTGTTTTTCAGAATTTTAATAGGAGCTGATTTACACTCCTTAGAAATAGTAGAGGAGAGTATGGGGGTTTGATACCGTGCAACGTGCGTGTACGCGTGTGTGCAGCACAATTAGACCTGTTCATGGGCCGGG